GTACATTTACTCTATTTCTCTGACGAGGAAAAATAAAATATATTTTTCTAAGGAATTGGTTTCATACTTTCAACCAAGTCGAACACAATCCATTAGGCCATACGCCTATAAATATGAAGAAATTAAATTAAAAAATTTGTCAAAATAGATAGTCAATGTCACTGTCTCAGTAAGCTTTTTATGCATTATCACAAATCTTGACTAATATGGTGGAAAATATTTACAATTAAGGAGATTTGTGTAAGCATGTTTTGTAATAAGTTCCTGGAAACTATCAGATTATTCGGGACTGCATGTCACGTTTCAATCTTATATAGGAATTACATCGATTATAAGCACTATCGAGAGAATCACTAACTACAAATAACATAAATTTAATCAGATTTCTAGTCGTATTAAATTTAAACATAGAAATAAGTTCTAGATTTTGTTTTTAGTACGTATTAATTTGTATTCGGAGACAATATATTTTTCAATAGACATATTTTAAGTTTAAAAAGTTAATCAATCGTTTTATAGTTTCAATATTATAGTCATTTATTGGTTAAAATCATAAGTCATATATTAATTATAGTGTGTAAAAATGTTGCCTTAATTAATTCGAGTAATTTAATAATTAGTTTGTAGTACTAATTCGAAAATTAATGTGTAGTTTATAAATAACTTTACAACTGAGGTAGCAAAATTTATTAATAATATTTGTATTATTATAACTAAATGTAAATAAGTAGCTAGTATCTAAGAATCGCTATTGGATGATACTTTGATTCGAGTTAGTTTTGTAGATAGGTTAGGTCTGAACAAAATTACTCATTGATCAACTCTATGATCAGATTCTAATAACTATTGTTCCTCCCATACACGGGACAATATATAATAAAAAAAAAAATAAATTAAAAATTAAAAAATTAAAAAATAAAAGAATTATAACTAATATTAAGAAATTAAATTTAAAAATTCTTCAAAATAGATAGTCAATGTCACTGTCTCAATGAGTGACTTTTTTCATGAATTATCACAAATCAAAGTACAAAATGCGAAGTACAAATTAAAGTACAAATGCCCGTAATGAAAAGTATTTACAAATTTTGAATTTAGAAACTAGAATAATGCAATTTATAATTTGCTAGAATAATTTAACTTACAAATATAACGGGATTTGTGTACACTCAAAAAAATATTTTACTGATGTAGTTAGATTTCTAGATATCGCAACAAGAATGTATCGCTACTTTTCGTATCTGTGAAAACATTGTTTGTCACATAGAATTTATAGCAGTAATGTTCTAGCAATAGCTTCTGAAAAATTTAGGTACCATTGCTAAATGTTATTCATTGCATGATCTAACACATGATTGATCTTATATAGATAGGCGCTTTAGAGAAACTTTCTTTTTAAAGTTCACAAACAATACAGATATATATTCTGTTTCTGTCATCTAAACTGATTAAGTAATTACATATGCAATATCACAACAGTTGCTAATCATTTATCTGTTTTAGTTAATTTTTTACACCTAGAAAATTTTAGCTATAGATCATTTTTTTGAGTGTAAAGCATGTTTTGCAATAAGTTCTTGGAGAGTATTAGACTATTCGGGATTGCATGTCATGTTTCAATCTTATATAGGAATTACATCGATTATACCCAGACAGCACGCATGTCCAAAATCGAGACATAAGACGGCTTAAAGACATCATTAAGACGCCTTTTAGACACGGTATCTAAAAGACGTCTTAATGATGTCTTTAAGATGTCTTATGTCCCGATTTTAGACATGTGTGCTGTCTGGGTAAGCACTATCGAGAGAATCACTAACTACAAATAACATAAATTTAATTAGATTTCTAGTCGTACTGAATTTAAACATAGAAATAAGTTCTAGACTTCGTTTTTAGTACGTATTAATTTGTATTTAGAGACAATATATTTTTTAATAGACATATTTTAAGTTTAAAAAGTTAATCAATTGTTTTGTAGTTTAATATTATAGTCATTTATTGGTTAAAATCATAAATCATATATCAATTGTAGTGTGCAAAAATGTTGCCTTAATTAATTCGAGTAATGTTTAATAATAAGTTCGAGTACCATGCACTTTAACAGGCAGAAGTTGTCTAAAATCACCACCTAATAAAACAATTTTTCCACCGAAAGGCAAATTGTTATTCATAATGTCACGCAATATTGGATCTATAATCTCTAAAGCATATCGTGTGCCATTGGTGCTTCATAGGTATTTCAAGTTACAAATGAGTTCTAGACTTTGTAAATATCAATTTGTATTCAAAATCGAGATTTTCTTTTTATTCAGAATATAATGCAACCACAAAACATTTATATACCATTATTTATTTCTTATATACGCTATCAAATAAGGTTATAATCTATTATGGGCCACTTTTTCCAACGTCGGTAACGCTAACCGACGATTTCAATTTGTTAATAGAATTGCTAACATAAATGAAATATGGTCATCAAAAAAGAAAAAAATTTAAAATTTTTGTTACCTTTAATAAAGATATTTTATTCTTCTATATCTTTAATAAAGATATTTTATTCTTTACGTTAGCAATTCTATTAACAAATTGAAATCGTCGATTAACGTTAACCGACGTTATGAAAATGTGGCCCTCTAACCTTCATCGTCAATGGCTGCGTTCCGTAAAGCGCATATGCTATTTGTCAATTTGTCATAATAATCAAGATAACCAATTTTTTCCTAGCGGCAAAGATTGGCGAACGCTACAAATTAAACATAACGCCAGACCACACATCATTCTGGGCCATTAGGCTAGCCCTTCTAAATTTTCTTAGTTAGGCTATTTCTTGGCAAACAAATGAGGCTCATGCTTCTGTCTTGGCGTTAAGCTAGCAATTTCTACGAGGATACTGTTGTGAGTTATTAAAAAATACTGAATAAGAATTTTTTGTTTATAAGTTGTTATGCTTATAAGAATTAAATTAATAATACGATAATTTTGTAAGTGCATTGGTTATTTTTATAAACACATATAAAAATTAACTTAATAGTTACAAAGTTGTATTACAAGAGAAATCTCTCAACTTTCAAATACAAAATTATATTTGTAAAATACGACTACAAGTTGTCTACAAGTTGTCTTACTATGTATATTTTTAATAACAAGCAAAGCCAAGTTAAATTTATAGGTATCGTAGTTCTTATTATGAAATAAATATTAATAATCTTTGAATGTGTTCTGAAATAGCGTAGAAAATAATAAACTGAAAATTTTAATCAATTTTTTACACTGATCAACAATTATTATTATTATCTTATTAATAAATTATGCAATATGCTGTAATGGATTTAGCAAACTCTATTTATCTGCTTATGGTTAGAAATTAATTTATTTAATTAAAAATTAAATTTTATGTGATAGTAAGATGCCAAAGTACAACAGTGATTTCTCATTTAACCCCTAAAAATCTGTTGATTTTGAAAATCTTGAAAATGTTAGTAATCATTGCGGCAAATGATTTATCAATGATATTTAACAATTATAGGAAATAATTTATAAAACAAATTTTTGCATCACAATATAGTTCTGTATTATAATTCTTTATAATATGATTTTTGAAATATGATCCAAAATTCCTTCACCAGAAATACATGACTTGTAAATATGTGAACAATCGTAATTATTTCGTCCAAATGCTAGTGCTTGTAGGTATTCAGATTCTAAGGATGAATTACTATTTTGCGTGGGCCTAAAAATAATAAACATTTATATATTGACAGTTCCAGAAACATGCAACCAATATTAAAATTTAAATAGAAATATTCAGATTATCTTACGTAAGCAAAAGATGCAACAATTCTCCTACGAGTCCTTCGTTCTCCAAAGGTGCAATTGCTGCTTCGCAAATTGTTTTTCTCATGCACTCTTTTCCGTCTGTCCCTCTTCTATAAAATATAGAAAAGTATGTGACAATTTATACGTATATAATTATAACAACATTATGAAATTTTAATGAAAAGCTACAAAACGTTCTCAATTATCTGCTGTTTTTTATTTACATTGATGCGCATATTTTAGTCAATATTAATGAACTGTTATAAATGGAAAATATTTTTATAAAAAAAAAATATTTTTTTAAATAATTTTCTTTTGTCACAAAGAAGACCTTAATTATCTTCTTCAACATTCTTGTCTCCGAAAATTTAATCTGTAACTTGGACGAATATATTCACGTATAACTTTAACATGATTTATATCATTTTCGTCTGTAGTTCACGAGTGCTCAATATAGAAACGGTTCTCACCTCTCAAACTCTTCCTCTAAAAGTCTGTAGACAGTCATCCTTTCGTCCCAGCTAACACTTTCACGGCGTCGTCGTGACGACAACGCGTTCTCGAAGAACTCCGTGAAGAATGTCGCATTCTGCGGCAAGACGTATTGGAACTGAAAGTTCTGTCCGTATACCAAAGTCTTGCCTGAAAGTTCTACGGGTACTGCAAGTCCCACGATGAGCTTAGTTGCGAATACAATGAAAACATAAATATATCTTTGTGAAATTACATTTCAATTTTGTTATATACGCCGCTATTTACAAGCATTTTTATTGCATGCACGCGTTTAAACACGCGCTTTAACGAATCTGGAGAGCAATAATAAGGACGAAAATTTCCACAAAATAGCGCTGCAAATTTTCCAGCAATATAACAGTATATCGGGGTTTGTACATTTTACAAATGAGCTTAAACAATCTCGCAATCGTACTTAAATCATCGCTTTTGTTGGAAATTTTTCTTTTATCTTTGAAAATAGAAGAAGAATCATCTCAAGCGATTGAAATAGAAGCGTCACTCTCTATTTAGGCGGAAGATAAAAAAGTGCACACTACGCACGAGCATATATCGCGAGGAACAATTTATTCGCTTATCCGAAACAGCATAGACCAAAGTTGTGGGAGTGGAAAACAGACGGGAATTAATTTTATGATATTCTCGAGAATAGCCGGAGCACGAGAGACGCAAAGGAAGGGACGCGACGGAATGGAGAACGTTGCTGATGTTGCGTAACGTCACAGTGCCTGATGCCATCTCGCAAAGGACATAAAAATTCATATGCGGCACTATATGATAAAGAAAAGGAATTGGCCGCGGCGGAAAAGTAGGACATGTGAATTTATTTTAGAGATTACAGGCCGCCGTAAATCACTCGTGAAATAGATGAAGAAGCGCAAATCTGTCGGTTGCTGGACAAGAAAGGATAGAGCGCTCGAAAAGTATCAGTAACGATATCTTCGGGCTTTGAATATAAAAATGTGGACGCAACGCGCACATGTTCAGGAAAAGATTGAAGTGTGACTAGCGGAAACGCGAGGAGACAAAAACACGTCTGAGAACTAGTGCCCGATCTCGCCAAGTATTGTAGATCGATCGATTGACTTGTGAAATAGATGGATAACGAAAAACGGATTTATGTGATCTTTAGGTATTAAACTCTTTAACTCTGATAAATGTATAATGTGAAATATTCAGAAAATTTTTCGCGCGTCTTCGAAATATGCACTTCGTCAGCAGATATCGATTTTTCTCAACTGCAGTAACTTGATTGCGGCTTTGTTTAAAGGATGGTCTCTATTTTTATGCTATTTTCGCAACCTGCAGATGACAGAGAATCCAAATACAACTTGCTGGCAACACGCCAAAGCTGTCCTTCCCCCTGCATTAGTTTTTATGACGCGCGATGCTTCTACTTTGCTTAGATGCCTCGTATTCTTTATGCAAGAGCTAACAGACATTGCCAAGATGCACTGCCAGTTTTATGTTGTCTCTTGAGGTTTCTACTTCTTGAGTAACGTTACGAAAGTATATATATATATATATATATATATATAAACAAAAAATACGTACAATATTTTAATTTTTACAATATTTATTCTTACTTTATCTTACTTTAATAATACTAAATTTTTCGTATTTTATCTTTGATAATATTAATGCATTTGTTCAAAGGTTCAAAAAAAGCCTTCCACTCTTACGAACAAATCGCAAATTTATTTCACGCAATACTGTTAATTGTACCAAAGTATATGATTAAGAAGTATACTATTTAACATTAACATTAAGTACATTAAGATAATAACAGAACGTATTATAATAAATGCGAGCACATTGTGCAAGATAAAATAAAAATTGCAAGTTGTTTTGCCCAAAATAGTATTACGCACAAAACACAAAATTACGAGTATTGTGTTGGATGCACAGCCATTTGCATTAATCTCTCTTTTGTTCCCAAGATATTACCGTCGCTGAACTTTACAAACCGCTCGCGCAAATTCCTTCATCTTTCTTTCTGCCGACTTCTTGCACCGGTTTCGCTTTTCGTAGTCGTCGGGTCGCTGTAAATTGTGCTACGTTTCCACTATGCAGCATGCGCCCGGATGCGCTGACGGAATCTGAATTCGTCGTCGTCCCACGAGAAGCGAGTCGCTCGTGCCCGCACTTGTAGGAATCAAAGTGAGAGATCGATATCCTTCTCTAAATTTCTCCCTTCCGGAAAATGAACCACTGCACCGTCGGCGAACACAGCTGCAAGTCCTGTTTTCCCCGATCGCTGCCGTATTTTCAGAATGCATTTATATTAGGAATCTCTCTCGTGAGCTTTCCCGCGATCGCAGCGGGCTTTGTAATTTCAACGTTTGTTTAGACAGGAATTTATTTTTGTTTCCAATATTGCATTTGTTCCGAGTGCTACATTTGTTGAAGCGGAGATGCCATCGATTTCTGGAAGGGACTGCAATCGTTCAATTCGTTGAATTATCGTGCAAGAATTACATTCGGGCTTCTGTCATGTTATTTAATGAATATTGTAATGTAATGCCATTGCATCAAACACGTAATAACAGGAACATTTATAAAATACATTCGAGTTGTACTTTACGACTTGCCGTCCTTCTCTGTTGATTTTGTAAAGTTAATATTATTGCAAAATACTTAATATTTCGCAGAATTACATACAGAAGAGATTTGCGCCGTCCTTGCTCTTCCCTTTTCTCGTCGCAAATCACAATCAAACCTCGACATAATTTCCTCTTCGAGTTTACACGTGCAGTGACCTGAACACATTCAATCCGCTTTCCCCTTTGGCCGCTTGCGTCTTAAGGTAAACATTCAAATATTTACAATTGCCGCGCTGCTTCTTGGATTAAAGAGTCTCTCTGACTTTCCGGAGAGGGCAACCGACTATCTCGTGTTATAACACGAACAATCGATGTCGATTTGCTCATTCTCTGTACACGTGCGTACTATGTGTGCTTCGTCACCTTTCCATGTGCATTGACCCGGATACATTGAATTTACTTCTCGTAGACTCGTGTCTTACTTCGTGCTTTTTTGGCTGCACATACGAAATTTTTTATCTCGTGTTTTCAGGAGTTTTCTCGAAAACTCATCTAAAACAATTTGCACAATTTGTCATCAAAATTTTTTCTAAAACATTAAATTTTTTTCCATTATTCTTTATAGTTTTCTTTTTAATAAAAAAAATATAACCGATTTTCATATGCAGCTCGTTAATAATCATTATTCATAACAATTTGGAGTGTGTTTAGATTATATTTACTTAGATTAAAAATTTTTAAGATAAATAATCGTGCTTGATATATTGTCGAATAATTAAAGCTTGAAAAGGGAAAGTGAATGAAAAGCTGATATATTCTCTCATCTCCGATTATCCCTCCAGACACTTAAAACCATTTATTTACACGCCGACTAGATACTCAATTGAGTTTTCGTTTAATTTCCTCTAAATTTTCTTCTCTTTCGTGAGAGGGTACTAATAACTGGGAATCTCGCTGAGGCAGCGAAAACCAAGACAAACAATCCATCACGACATCGAGGCCGTCTCATCTACCGCGAGAGCGAAAACTGTAGCAGGAGTTTTCCGATTCAATTAGAGAATTTGAAAGCGGGCGGCGGATAAAACTGCAGTTAATTATCAATCGCGTTCTGTGTGGCAAACATTCGGGCGTTTTAGCCATTAAAATTTATTCCTCTGTTTCTTACGCTGTCGAAGACATTAGCAGCACTATTACCGGCGGTGTGGACTTGTATTTAAGAAGAATTTAAGCGCGCCTCGTTACCTCGTTCTCGAAATAATTTTAATAATTGAGTTAATCAAATTGTCCAGAAAAGATTTGTCGAAAGAATTAAGAAGCATAATATATAACAGCAATTTTTATCTAAATGCAAAGAAGGTATAAATTGATTGATGAACATAAAATTTAATTTGTAAGATAATCTCTATTTTTTTCACTATAAATTAAAAGAGATATATTAATATACAATATTTGACAATCAAATACCTCACACACACACACACACACACAACACAATATACATTTTTATTTATTTTATATAAGTTTAAAATTTTGTATATAAGTTACATTTAGTTTTTAATGAAATGTGCAAATAGTTAAGTAAGAGTACGTGCTTTAATTACATCAATTAAACATAACTTTCGAGTGATCACGTTTTGTAGAGCTGTAAATTACACTCTCGTTTAATCGTTGATGTTGAAATGCCGAAGCAACATGTGTATAATCATGTAAAACTAACTGCGTTTAAACTGAAACTTCACTATTCAAAGAATGTTTCTTTGAGTGTCGAGACGCGGAAACTTTGTTTCAATGAGAAACCTAGGCTGTACGTATACAAGGTGACTACAGAAATTTACCACGCCCAAGGATAAGAGCGTTATTGACTTGTCGGAGTAGAAAATAGTTGCTGTGGAATCCGCTTCTTCGCAAAAAGGATTTGCTGTCGCTCGGCTCAGCGACGCGAAATATTGCGCCATGAGAATTGTAATTAGTTAGCCTGTTTTCTGAGGGAAATATTCAACAAAATTTTCAAATGTACGCACAGCAGGAAACACTTCGAAAATTAGTTTTTAAGCTAATCAAAAATCTGCAACTACGTCCATGCGCGAAGAACTTCGCCTTTGCTGCTTTATTAATAAAATAGAAGCAGATGTAATAGTGTTTTGGTAAATTATTTATATTATTTTATATATATTAATGCCTACATACATATATATATATATATAACATTAACTTTTTAAAATCTACTTCTACTACTCGTACAGTATTATTACAAAAATCCTTAATTAATGAATTATTATTTCTTTATTTAGAAAATAGATAGAAATAATTCGTTAATGAGCAAAATTATATTAAATTTTGCAATATAAATACGAGAGCTCTAACTGAATACCTTGCGATTGTACATATGTGTTAAATTTTGGCAGCAGTAATTACCTGTTATTCTAAATTAGTGAAGTCAGTTTACTTTCTTTAAGAACTTGTAAATTACTTTATTTGTAAATTTCGTACATTGAATCAGTCTACATTCATATTGTCACGTTAGTATTATTAAAAATAATAATTAGAATAGGCGCACAATTAATATTTAAATTTTGAAAATTGTAAAACATTTAGTGTTTTATGAAATTTTGATAGAAAAATGTATCTATTGTATTTAAAGCCGGGAATTTTTTAAATACAACTTTTATAATTACCAAGATAATTAATTGTTAATTAATAGCTTCGATATTAAGCTTATTGGTTAAAATCATAATCATCATCATAATATCAACCATATCAATTTTATCAATATTATAATATGTATTTCAATAAAGTTTAAGTTACTTAAATTTTTGCCAAGCAGTATTTGATAAGAATTATATGTACTTCTAATACAAAATAAGAATATAGACAGTGAAACAATAGTAAAATAGAGAATAGTAGCAAAGTTTATCACTCTGTTTTGCATTAATACAACTATCATAATTATTAAATTACATAGTCGCTGTGCAGAATACAAGAATATAGGATTATAATTGCATGATTAAAATTTTAAATAGTTTATTAAATATGCTTTCCAGATGCACTGCCATAATTCATTGAAAAATATTTTCTACGAAATGAGTGTACAATTATAATCTGCAAAGCAGAAAATTTTAATGAAGTATAAAAATAAAAACCAATATTATATCGGGATATTATCATTATTATAAAAATATAGAAATTTTAAATAATATTTTGTATTATTATAATTAAAATAACGGAAACGTAAAATCATATAATTTTTCAAAAAGAATAGTCAAAGTCATTGTTTCAATCAGTTGCTTCTTTATCACTAATTACTATGTAAATCTAATATATTTAATTAATATAATAGAAAGGCATAGAGAGAGCCGTCGCGGGATGTTTAGTGCAAAATTATAATTTTCTTAAAGAAATTAATTTGTTAGTCTA